CGTGATTGGACAAGTGACTGCCCCGTACCAAAATAAGAGCTACGACAATGACTTCAAGAAGCTACGGGCGTACATCAATGCGAAGCTAAGAGGGAGGTAAAAGCTGTTTGACACATTTCATCTTTTTGGTGTACATAATTTTTTGGCTAGCACAATTTTATATTTTGGTACGTGATTAATGCTAAGCTAAATGGGTTGACTATGCATAATTAAAATTGGTACCATACTATTGTGTCTTAGCTTTATTTTATTTTAATTTTCTTAGTATGTCTCAAGATTTTAATTTGGACCTAGTATTATATGTAACACGTATAAATGAGAAGATAAAATTTAGGGGATGAAAAATTCAAGCTAAAAAGAAAAATGCAAACCCCACGATCATAATCTCGAGTATACGTTTAGAATTCTCCATTTTTAAAATATCTAAGTCTCAATTTTTGTTAAACCCATCAATTGGCTAGTCGAAATAAAATCAAATAAAAGAAATTATTTTTCAAAAATTGAAGACCGTATAGGAGACTAAGGAGCACCGTATGAGAGACTAAGCAAACCGTATTGGAGACCAACCAACAACATGGGATACTAGCTAGCTTGGGAGACTAACCAAAATGGAGACTAGCTAGCTTGGAAGACTAACCCAAGATGGAGACTAACCAAAATGGAGACTAGCTAGCTTGGAAGACCAACCCAAGATGGAGACTAACCAAAATGGAGACTAGCTAGCTTGGGAGACTAACCCAAGATGGAGACTAACCAACTTGGAGACTAGGCAAGAAGGAGACTAACCCAAGATGGAGACTAACCAACTTGGAGACTAGGCAAGAAGGAGACTAACCAAGGTGGAGACTAAGTAAAAAAGGAGACTAACCAAGTAGAATGCATTACTCTCACAAAAGCCATGCACAGATGAAGAAACACACCAAGTAAGGTGGACCAAGCACAAAATCGAAACAGAGGATCTCACCATGCACAAACTATGAAGTTTTTACAGAGGTTCCAATATATCATTCTACATGGATCGTGAAGGAGAAAATAACTGATATATTTTCATCTGAACAACAATATTTTTACGATGGAACCGGAGACGCTCGAAGAAGGCTGATTCACGGAGATATATTTTCATACTCAAGTAAGAATCAGCAGATGAATTATTTGATCAACTTGATATGTTAGAACATTTATGAATGACAAGAAATTTCAAGCTTGCTGCGCCGAACTTATTCAAATTTTGGAGGCTACAATTTTCAAGAGACGACAACGGGCAAAATATTCAAATCATCTGACAAAAGGCGAAAGGCTACTGCCTAACATTTCAGATCAAGTTCACAACTTTATTTTGATCAACTACATTCGAAGATGGACGATCAATCGAAAGTTGATCAACGGGCAAATAGCTTTCATTGGCTATAAATTGCCCAAGCAGACTTGAAGACAAGGACACTTGATAACAAGAGCTTAACACGAATTCTACAGCGATAAACAAAGAAGAATATCTAATTAAACATCAAGTGATATATTAAGCTATATACGATAGACTTCAAGTCTGAGTGAGAGAAATATTTTATTTCTTTGTAAACTTCTCTACTGAGTGTAGAAAGAGGGCGGAGTAACTAGAGAGAGTGAAAAACCCTGGTTTAGTGTAGCTTTGTGCGTAACACTCGTTGTAAAGGGCAGAGTAACAAGGGGAGCTTGTGAAAACCCTGTGAGAGCGTAGCTTTGTGCGTAGTTCTCGTGGTGTAGGAGTACAGCTTGGTGCGAAGTACTCGGGAAGGCGGAGTATCAAGAGGAGCTTGCGAAAAACCTTGGAGGAGTGTAGCTTTGTGCAAAACACTCGGAGAAGTGTCGGTGGACACTTATTCACTATTGTATCTGGGTGATTGAAGAATAGTGAATTTCCTCCTTGAAGTGAAAGGAGAAGAGCGGAGTAGGAGAATTACACCATCTCCGAACCACTATAAATCTCTCTCTCTCTCTTTACTTACTGCTCATATATTTTGTGCATGCTTATTCTAACTGCGAACTAACCCGATTACGTTTTATCGCATATCTTTATCTGTCTAGGTTTAATAGTTCCCACGTTCGCATGCAAGCCAAACTTTACATACATCATCCTTGAACCATATCAAGTGTTTCTAAAGTGTTGCATGTTTAGAATCTCTCCTTGAGCACCACACAATTAAGCATAACACTTTACCGCTACCTATTCCGGTGCACACTCTAAGTGGTTTAACATGTTGATGCTTGTTACTTAGAGTTTAATTTAACAAAGTGTTATTTGCCTTGTGTGTTTTTAGAAGAAGTTTGAAAAGTTAGAGAAGTCTATTCACTCCCCCCCCCCCCCCCCCTCTAGACTTCTCGCCACCCTTTCGGGACCAACAGTATGTGTCGTTAGTCATCAATCTTCAGGATTGATTCATGTAAAATTGTACTCCCCCTCAAGATAACAATCTTGATGTCCTATACATTAAATTTCCAAAATGTATAGAGGAATTTTGTAAATAAATATGTACAATTGTGAATGGAACAAATATACTTTATAATAATCCCGTGACTCTTCTGGAGCTCACGTGGGTATAAGATTGATACCATAATATCTTAGTCAAAAGATTTCATTATATATTATTTTATCATTTGACCAACAGAATCTTTATTGTCCTTATATAGGACAATGAGGGTAAATATAGTACAACCAGTTTTGGGACTTGGCATTATGGGGATACAAAATTAATAGCTAGTACCCAATTAGTAGCCAAGTATCTAATCAAAATCAAGTATTGGCTAACTGGTGTATAAAATATTATTCAAGGAAAAACTCGATCTTCAAGGCGAGATAATACTTATAGCTTTTACAAGTATTTCATTGATGTTTACACCATCAATATTGACTGAGATAATAAATAAGTCCATTATCAACTCTTTATTGAGCACATAATGGTACATATTATTCCTTCTTATATGAAGATAATAACCCCATTCGCAACTCTTTAAAGAGTAAATAATGGCACATAATAATACTTAAATAAATCCTCATTTTGGGAATTATAAATATATTAGGGATTTTTCAAGATAAATTTAACTGCATATCTAAATTTATTATTCTGCCAATTGTATTATACAGCGGAACTTATTGCATTTACCGTGGGAGAGTATATTTGAAAAGGGTCTCTAGGTGAACCCATAAGTTACAAACTCGCTTCATAATATATCAATTTTAGCGAGTCAAGCTATGCCTTAATTGGTCCTTTATATGTTAAATACTCATGACACTTCCGGTGCCTAACTCTGGATCCAGATTATCATATAACGAGCAATTTGTAATGGCAATTGTGTTGTCGACAACTATAACATTTTTATAAATGTCTCCCATATTTGTAAAAGTAATGACAATTTCTAAAACAACCAGATTCTAGACATTTCCCAAAAATATTTTGATCTAGTCATTCCGCATCCCTAGTATTATGTTTGTTTGGTGCTCCTATAATTTTACTAGGATTTTTCGTCATCTGGACGAACGTCTGCAGGACATAATTATTCAAACTATTTCAAAAGTGACAATGTTTCTTTACTAGATCTAGTATTATGATTCATATCTCTTTCATTGATAGATATCCTACACTTCTAGTGTCAATGAGTATTATATCGGTAGATATGTTTGGTCCAAGTTTGGGGAAGGTATATGGGCCCTAGCCACTCTTTTATGATCATTATGATCCATAAGTATGTTTGGCAGATTATTTGCTAAAATCGCAAATAAATTATCTTTTGAACTTCTAGTCCAGTCTAACTAATACATGGATTTAAATAATAAAGATGTTTTCGTTCTATGAAATTTATTGGCTTTCTATTAAAAGTTAGTATATTTTCTCCCCCTAATGCCGAGAGACAATCTTCATTAGGAATGCAGTCAACGTACCCAATTATATGTATTGATCCCCTATCATGGGCTTTCGGTATTTAATCAATAGACAGAGGTTTCTTTGATAGCCCTTTTAGAGGTACGTTGTGCTAGTGATATATAAAAATAGATTGCACACTAAAATTAACGCAGATAGGGAAATGTTACTTTTGAAACCACGTACTAGGTGAAAAGAGGGTAGGGGTGACCGCAATTCCTGTTCCGGTTCAGAACTGCTGGTTCTGGTTCCGCAAATGGACAAACCGGAACCGGAACCTTATAGTAAAGTTTCGGTTCCGGTTCCGGTTCCGGTTGGAGCCGCTGGTTCTAACCGGATTAATTTAAAAAAATAAATAAATAAAATAAGCTATAATTTTTAATTTTTTTCGGTTTGGAACTGGAACCGCCGGTTCCGGTTCTTTTTCACCTCGAACCTTAACCGGAACCATATTGGTTTCGATTAGGAACCGAAACCGTGACCGTACGGACAGTTTGGTTCCGGTTCCTGTTCAACAGTGCACGGTTCATTTTGAACCGTCCAGTTCGAACCGAACTGTGGTCATGCCTAAAAGAGGGTATAATTGCGATATGCAGTGAGTTAGATTTGGGTAAAAAAACTGGCTCATAGTAACATCATAGCAATCCTTCAGGGATTGATGGGATAGGTGGACCATTTTTGGTCAAGAATTCATTGTGAAGGTTCATCCTAAAAGGTGACTTGGAGAATTAAAGTTCTTAATCTACCTTCTAGGCAAATAAATATACCAAAAAAATGAAGGCTATAAATTTAAATATCATATACCCAAATCTCATGTCAAAGAGTTTCTATAGCAGAAACTAGTACGGTAAACAAGTCATAACCTTTAATTGTTATCACATGCAAGCTAAGGTTTAGCAACGACATGTGCAACCTACTTTTCCAAGCAAGCTCTCATTTTATCTCATAGTTTCATACAAGCATGAAAACATCACAAAATAACAAGATATAGCTGAAAACGGTAGAAATTTTCTGAATTTTGACTTGGATTGCTGAATTTTCTGGGAGGGGGGGGGGGGACGGTAACACATTTTGACACAAAATTTTGCAGATAAGAAGTACATCAAGTCTAGATTGTACACAAAAAGTTTCATGCCAATCCAAGGTCTGGAAGTATTTTTCTCAAAAAATTTTCCAACATTGAGTCAGGCTGAAAATTAACTGGCAGCACACTGCCAATAGTTTACAGAATTTTTTTGGAACAACCAAAGCATATTTTTAACAAAATATTTATACAAACATCAAATACCACAAGTCTAGGTTCTCCAGAAAAAATTCCAAGCCAAAAGAAGTTCAACAGGTATTTTTCACGAATTTAATTTTCAAGCTATGCTGATCAGAATTTTTCAAATAAATTTAATACTCAAGAGGTGCATTCTAACGAAGTACTTATAAAAGTTTTGGAAGGCATGTAGCGCAAGGCGTTAAATATGGCATGGAAGGCATTGAAAACTTGATCCATCACCACACCTCATATTTCAACTAAGCAGCAACAATTACCAATATCATCAATCAATAGCTTACTTAAACATAAACAAGTAATGAGAGTTTATGAAAAAAAGCTATACAAAATCTGCATACTTCATGATGCAAATGATACAAATACAAGCAGTGTGCCAAGGCAATTTATCTCACTTTGATAACAAGTTTATATTATGCATATGTATAGTATACTCTCAAGTGCCCGAAAATATCAAAATCCATGTATATATCATGCAGGAAATAGACATAGATACTTAGCTTTTAGTGCAGAACAAGGTCTAGCAAGCTCCTTGATGAGCAATATACTACTTTGTTGATTTCACAAAGAAAAATGTGTATACTATATTATGACTTGCATGTTATGAAGTATATGATTAGCATTTGCAGAAGCAAGTCAAATCCCAGACATATGAACCATGAGAATAAGACTATGAGGGATTGCATTAGCCTTTCTGGTTTTACTATGCATCCATTATATATATTGCTTTTTTGGATAATTTATCTTTCTCAATATATATTATTTGGACAAAGCTATAGATTACAAGCAAAATCAGACAAACAATTGTGTGAGATTGAGGAGATTAAATGAAAGGCTCAAATTTGTCACTCTCAACCAGATGACAGTTCTTCAAAATAGTATGATTCACAATTATATTACTCACAACGTTCGCATGATATATAAAATTATTTCTATTCACAAATTAGCATTCATGATATTCTCCTTAAAATTCAAGGCAGCATTCAAACTAGATTCCAGATATCAGCATAGAGAATGACTCAATCATTGACACAACAAGTTTCATATCAAGATTATCATGAATATTGCACAGGCAAAGCAAATATATGATTTTATGAAGTATAAAAATATGTAAATATATGTGCAATCTGTTAAAGTACCAAAAACATATTTACTGGTGAGTGAATCGTTTTCGTAGACCTTTAATAGATTCTCTTCTTTAAATAGTTTTTCAGCAAACTGCACAGTATTAAATTGAAGTCGCGAGTCGCCTTTCTTGATATTTGCTCAACACCCGTTTCTGATTGGCCGATGATCGGATGCCTGCGCCAATTCCGGTAAACAGTGCGCATCCGCCACTTTTCGGCGAACAGAGTGGGTTGACAGAGAAAGGGGATTCGGAATCGCCGCGCTTCATCCCCAACATACGCATTTTTCCTTTGATTTTCGTTTGAGAAGATTTCCGATCGGGAGGCTGATGTGCCTCCGTTGCTTACTCCACCTATGAGAATGGCACCGGCAGGGAATGCAACGCCGCGGGGATGGGGAAACAAAGCACATGTAAGTACATTGGATCAGTGGATATTTGGTTCACAGAAGATATAGAGTAAAGTGTCGATAACGTGTTGTAACCTAATGGTCAAAGTAATACCGGGAAAAGAGGGAGAAACTTTCATTCATTCATTGTTACATTACATACTACAACAATACATATATATAATATACATTTATAACGAAAGCTAATAATGATAGACATAAATGCGACCATTACATCGGTTACATAATCAACTAATAATGCCTACAGTTAACTATATTATAACAGATGGCCACTTTTTAAGGGTTATTCACATTTTATCTCACCTAAGTATAATCCTATATTTCACAAAAAAGGCTAAAGTGTCATCCCGCACCATGAACTATTCCCGATTATCCACGCCGCACCATAATCTTTAATAAGTGATATTTTGAGCCCTAAACCAATTTTTTTTTTCCGCCTAGCATTTTTTTGTAGGTTTATTCCCGGTTACCAGTAATTTGATGCTGACATGGAATTTTTTATTATTTTATTTTATTTCTTCCTATTTATCTTTTTTCTCCTTCCATTTGCTACTTCTAATTCTAAAGTATCGCTTCCAGTGGAGAGGAAGAGACCGGCACCGATTCGCTAGAGCACTTTGATGTCATAAGGGAGGCCGGTGAGGTTCCTGGCGGCGGAAACGAGAAGGCGGTTGTAGAGGGCGACGGAGACGAGGATTGTGGTGCTGCTTCGCTTCCGACTTGGTTTTTGTTGTTGCTGGATTCTCCGTCGCCTTCCACGCCGTTTTCCGCCGAAACTGCTTCTCTTCCGGGTGAGGTAGCGGGTAGCAGAGCTTTGGGGACGTCGGAAGATACTCGTGGGAAAATTTCTCTGTTGCATTCATGTAGCAATAAATGGACTTTCCCACGCTCGCTTTCCTGCTCTAAAACACAAGTTCCCAGAATAAGTCTCACTCAGACAACCTCAAAAATCATAGGAGATTCATGGACTGACAGAGAATCAGACAAATACCTTTAGAAGTGAGGCAATGTATGATTCTGGGATTTCCATTTTAGACAGAATGCAATTGTTAATAGTCATTGCTGCCTTGTGAATCTGGTTAGCACAGTTGCATTTGTGCCTCAAATTCTTCCTGGATTTCTCAGACAGCCCACCAGAAGGAACACAAACAACTGACAACCACCACTTTTCCTTCTTCCTCTGATGTTGTACGTGACTGTGGCTGAATTATCCTCCTAAACGATCCAGACCATGGGGGCAGCAGCCGGAGATTCTCGCCGTCGCGAAACTGGTTCAGGCAAACCGAGCAAGTCTTTCCTCGAGGTGCGGATATACCAAATGGGGTGGTCGATCACTGGGCCACGACTGCTTTCCTCGAGGAAGTCTTCATTCTCGAATGTCAAGCCGCCAGTCGGAGCGTCTCCTACGTTGCCAGTTGAAGCAGTTCCGGACGGGGTGCTTTTGCAGGTAGTGCAAAAATCTGGCGTTGGATACGAAAAAGGTGATGCATGGGTTTTGGTTACGAAGAAGGGAAAATCGTGTTTGTGGAGTCCTACTTTAGGAAAAACGCTATAGCCCATAGCAATTTTTAAAAGTTAATAAACGGTTACTTTACGTATTCTACGCTTCCCAAAATCTGTAAAAACCCTAGTTTGACTCCAATATATATATTTATCTTCTTCCTATTTCTTCTCCATTTTTATCTCCTTCCTCTTTCTTCTCCATTTTTTTACCTTCTACAAATGTCTTCTATGGTCCCAGCACAATTCCTTTAAAATAGCAAAAAAATAAGATTTGTGGTCCCAAAAATCAGTTACCAACTGTGCTTGAGTTCCTGGGGTGGATCGAAAGTCTATTCGGGCAGTGGGTGGGGACGGCAGAGGCGGCGGTTTCCGGCAAGGGACGGCTGTAGGAGACGGTTGTGGGAGTGGATTCCGGCGGTTTTGTTTTTGCTTGAATAACATCTTAAGGTTAGTTCCTCCATTAATGGTGAAAGCTTGATTTTTTTTTTATTTATAAATTTCTGTTTTTTCTGAAATTTGTTGTTTATTTGAACAATGTGATCCACATAGTTCCTCCACAAAATGGGATCAAATATCTTAATATATAATATGTGGTTGTTTATAGTCTAACTCTTAGGGGGCGTTTGGTTCCGGTTATATAACATAACCAAGGAAATGTGACATTCCAAAGCTCACATTCCTATGTTTCGTTCACATTAACTCAGGGAATCTAACATTCCCCAGGAATGTCACATTCCCTCCACATAGGATTTTGAAGGGAATGTGATTCCCTTCAATTTCTAAGGTTATGTAAGATAACCTTGGTTATGTTAGTTTATCTCTCTCACACACACACACACACACATATATATATATATATAATTATTTTTGTAATTATATATTTTTTATTTTTATTATGTTAGGTTAGCATATAAAATAATTTTGTTTCTCAAGTTCAATATTTTAGTTAATATTTTAAAATCATGTAATTATATATGATACCGTTATCTTATTTATTTATTTTTAATTTTTAAATTTATTAAAATATATGAAAATATGTTAAGGATATTATAGTGTGTGAATAAATGATAACCCTAAACCAAACATGATTATATTACATACCCCAATTTTAACCAAACACATGAATCTCACATTCTCAGTAATCTCACATTCCCAGCAATCTAACATTCCCTAAGGTAATCTGACATTCCGTGAACCAAACGGCCCCTTAATTCACATAGTTGTTGTTTTAGTTAGTTCATTTGTTAATTCACTCGGTCTAAAAACGAGAAAGCTCCTATATTTTGAAAGAATTAATGTGCTCAGATCATTGCATGTGAAATGGAGTGAACAACATACTAGCTACTGTATGCTACATATACAGTATTTTCAAAAGGCAATGAAGCTGATGTCTGGAGTGAAATAATAGGAAGATATTCCTCCTGCAAGTTACCAAATAATGTCAGAAAAATAAAATAAAAAAATAATAATAAAAGAAAGCAGTCAGTGTGCAGCGAAACTTCATTTTTTTCTTTTAAAATTTGATTTGTTTGTTTTTTATTGTTTTATTACTTATATTTTAAAATTTTCACAAATTTCAATTATATAATATACGGAGTATATTTTTTATTAAATTTTGAATAATTTAATTACAATTAAAATAAAAATGATTAAAATAAATAAAGTAACAACAAAAATTAATTTATATATGTATAATTATTATTTTAATTAAATGTAGGTGTGTTTGTTTTAATTAATTTTCATACTTATAAATTTATAATTCAAATAAAAAGTGGGACCACAAATAACTCATAAAAAAAACTGAAAACTGATATGGAGAAGAGTTTTTTGTGATTGAGTGAGATAATAGAGGATGAGTTGGATGTTGGGGCCCACAAATAACTCATAAATAACCCCAACTGATGAGGTTGCTCTAACAACTTTGTTAATAATGCTTATGATTTTAAATTGATTGAAAACTGAAATTTGTGATTTGCCTTATGATTTAAAATTTTACATTGATTTCAATTAGAATGATTCTGGAATCGGTGTGAGCTCAAAAAAAAAAAAAAAAGAAAGAAAGAAAGAAAAGGCCTAGACTAGGCCGTGTTTTTTTTTTTTTTTTGAAAATGAAAAACGGCCTAGACTAGGCCTTTTCTTTTACTGATTTTGCTATTATGGATGTGGAGGTAAAGTTGGACATTCAATTAGTTACTCTGCCTTTTTTTTTTAGCTAATTGTCTCCGTTTAATTTGTTGCCTAATTTGCATTAGTTAATCCTGTAGTTTAAAATTCATGCTGGTTAAATTTTTATTTTACCGAGCTCAACATTTATTATTTGCACTTTTAATTTTTACCTATATATTTTGATCATAATGTATGTTTATTATTTAAGTGTATTTTATTGTATATCATGATTGTTATTAAGATTGTCGCATGATTGTTTCATGATTGATTGTTACTTAGGATAGTTATGGCACAACGAGTGAATCCTGGACCTATTAATGGAAGTGTGCTAACATTTCAAAGCCAACATCGTAGTGGAGCAATTTGGACCGATCCCAACTACGAATATGAAGTGAAAGTTGCACGGTACGATACCGTAACACTGTGCGATGCCTCACTTGATCCTCGCGTGCAAGAACATCTACGTACTGCCGGATTTTACGGTATTTCGCGGTTGACGTCCATTAAATTGGACCATGGGCTAATTACTGCACTTATTGAGCGATGGCGGGCGGAAGTGCATGCCTTCCATATGCCATTCGGTGAGGTTGGAATAACACTTCAGGATGCGGAAGTGTTATTTGGGCTGAAGGTGGACGGGTTGCCAGTGTCGGGGGACGATACTGTATATGAAGCAGCTAAAGTTGTGAGAAATTGTTTCGAACTGCTTGGGTTTTATTTGGCACCGCAATTCATGACCAGGACAAAGATTAATGGGATTGTGGTTCCGAAGGCTGGCCAGTTAAACGAGGATAGCACACAGGAATCGGTGCTTTTGGAAACACGCCGTTTTATTTTTCATTTATTAAATGGTTTTTTGTTTCCGGACACAAGCAATGTGTATTATAAAACATACTTGCTAGAGTATATTAGAGATTTTAACTTATGTGGACAATACAGCTGGGGATCGGCTGTTTTGGGATATTTGTACCGTTCCTTGTGCAGAGGTGCTAAGAAGAGCACTAGTGACGTCACACAATTGCATGGCCGAGTGAAACGCAGGTATTGCCTTAGACACCTTCGGAGCAATGTCCTAACAAAGGTCAGCAGAAATCGGTGGTTACGTAGATTGATTTGGGAAGCTGGTACTGCTGTTACAACAAATCAATTCAATCAACACATGCAGACCATCCAGCAAAACTGGCCAAATGCATACAACTATCTGTCCGCACTCGATGAAGAGGCGCGGACATTATGTCACGATGGGGGTCATCGGTACGACATTATGACAACCAATCTATCTGAGTCTTTTAATAACTCCATTAAGAGTTGCCGGATGTTACCTGTCACGGCAATCGCACGAATAACTTTTCACAAGTTACGAACAATGTTTGCCGATAGGCGTACTGCAGGGGAGATGATGCATCAACAGCAAATGCTTTTCACGCCAAAGGTTCATGAAGATTTGGTTGCTAGAGAAAATGAGTCAAAAAATGCAAGCATTGAAAGATATAATGACACTCTTGGCATTTACGGCGTTGCTATAATTTCTGGATACATGGCTCACGGTCTGCACCATCATTTTCACGTCAACTTGGCTGAACGAACATGCAATTGCGGCAAGTGGAACGTGGACGGAATACCGTGTGCACATGTGATAGCAGCTTGTAATTTCCGAAGGGAGGCATTTTACCAATTCGTGCCACAAGTTTACTCCGTCCAAAACTACAGGAATGCTTACGCAGGTAATTTCTATCCGTTGGTCGAAAATACTCAGTGGACAAGTCATATCACTTACCTTCCGCCTATTAACGCTAAGCGACGAACACAAAGAGGCCAACGACGAACAACAAGATTTCCCAATGAAATGGACTTTAGTAGCAATCGTAGAACAAAATGTAAGTATTGTCGAAGGACAACACACTCTTCTTTGCAATGTCCAAATTTAAATCATTAATAAAATCGAATGTTTTACTTCAACAGTCTAGTAATTTTTTTTTTTTTTTTTTACTTACAAATACATCAAAATAACACTTTTAATTAAATAATATCATAAAATATTTTAAATCTACATATATATATCAATTTTTTTCCTCTAACTACCAATCAGATGAATTCTTGCTACAACCACACAAAATGACAAACTAAGTGTTAAAAAAATAGTCCTACTAGGACTTTGCTAAAAACAAAGTTGTAAAAGTCTCGCACGGAAAAATGTGAATAACATTGCTAAAAACAAAGTCCTAAAAGTTTGACATGGATAAATTGAAATAATATAATATATTAAATTGAAATACAACATTCTAATACGAAACCAACATACATATTTAAAATGAAAAAAAAAAAATAAAAATACGGAAGATTAAATTGCTAAGGCGCATAGCAACTTTCTATGGGAGAGAAATGCACTCCACAAACACGGTTTTCCTTGTTTGGTAACCACTTTCCATGCAGAGACATTTTGGAATCCCCCATATTTTTTTTGCTCATTCGGGGTTATGATTCTACGTGTCCTCGCGATGATTATGTGAGAGATGGTCGATCAGAACATGTTTACTAAACGGCAACGTTTAGTTTTTTTTTTTTAAATTAAAAATGCTTACATAGACTGAGAAATAAGGCCACATCAGCTTATTACCGCACCATGTCATCAGGATTACCAGATAACCTACAAAAGATGCTAGGCGGAAAAAAAAAATTATTTTATGGCTCAAAATATCACTTGTTAAAGACATGGTGCGGCATGAATAATCGGGGATGACACTTTAGCCCAAAAATAAAAAAGGTATAATCCTATATAAAACCTAGGCATCCGACATCATCGTCGTCGCTTAGCAGCAGCCGCCATCGTCGTCACCACCTTGCAGCAACTGAAATCACCGCCGCCTAGCAGCAACTGACGTCGTTGCCGCCACTTAACAGTAGCCAACATCGTCGTCGCCCTCAATAGCTTCCAGCTACATCCTTCGTCGTAGACCTCCTCTGACGTCACTACCTCGTTTCTCCGTTTCTATTTTCGGTAATTCCTCTAAACCCTTAGGGGGTGTTTGGTTGGATGTAATTTGAGTGTAATTGAATTGCAATTTCGTGAAGTGTCCAATTACGCTGTTTGGTTGGAGGGAATTGCAATTCCACCGAATTGCAATTCCCTCCAAATGCTGAATTGCAATTCAGACCTCCACCTCAAGAATTGCAATTCAGTGATTTGAAGGGGGGAAAAAGATAACTTAAAGACAATTTTACCCTCTAATTATTTTGTCTTATTAGCTATCATCCACCTCATTCTCATCGCTATAACCCCCATTCTCTCCGTTTCTCTCTTTGTTGAAAACGCAAAATCAGAAGCAGCAAAGGAGAGCATCCAACGATTGTGGGGAGGGGACCAAACATTTTAATAACATTATTAATTTATTATTATTATTATTACTTTATTATTATTAATTTATTATTATGATTATTATTAATTATTATTATTATTATTATTATTATTATTATTATTATTATTATTATTATTATTATTATTATTATTATTATTATTACTAGTATGATACCCGTGCGATGCACGTGAAATGATTTGTAAAATAAATGTTATACTGTGTTAATAAAATATTAGAATAATTACATCAAAAGAATATAATTAATTTCATACGACAAAATAAATTTTCATGTATATATATATATATATATATAGGTGTGTAATTAGTATGATAATGCACGGATTAAATATTTGAAATATTAAAATTCTAAACAACACATTTATAATAGAAGATCAAATGAAAAAGAAATTCCTTTAGAAAAAAAAATATACAAAATAAACTCAATGATTTTTTTTGCAATTTCTACACACATTGAAGAACCTCCTACAGTGAGTTTTTGTCAAATCTTTCATCATATTCAGTCCTTCACAAATCTTTCATTTACGTATGCACATTGGTCCACTTCCACCAGATTTGTTAAGGATCATCATATAACCATTGAAGAAGCAAATTAAAAAAAAAAAAAAAAAAAAAAAAAAAAAAAAAAAAACTTAAACTCTTTGCAAAATAAAGGAAATAAGAAAATACAAAACCCTGCATAAGAACAACCCTGCATAAGCATTCCATTAAAAAAAAAAACCCTGCATAACGTAGGCATTATCTATACCACTTCCAACCAGCAGATGCACTGCAGCTACCCAAACGCTCATTGAGTTGTCACCATCTTCGACCTCTACCCTGTGCAAGTAATTGAAACATCAAAATCCTTGCTCCCATAACTCAAGCTGCCTCCTCTTCGATGTTGCCTCGCCTCCGCCATGTATAGTTTCTCCACCATGGCCAGCCGCAGTAATCCATACAGAACGTGAAGTTCCCCAAACCTACTTCTAGATAGCCATCATTCAAGATAGAACAAAAATAGCCAATCATTCAAGATAGAACAAAAATAGCCACATGAACAATGCAAACCTTTTCACCAGAAAGCTTTTCTAGTTTATCAATGGATCCATAACAACAATCTCCTCACCATCCTCACTAATCCATACAGAACGTGGAGTTCCCCAGAACCTACTTCGACTAACAACCCAATCCCTTGCATTTTCCTGTCAAAGAACACACCTCATTAAAAATATCAAGTGATAAATTTATTATATGAGTCGTCAAACAAATACCTAATCGGCTACCTCTTCTTTTCTTCTTCGCCTGAATGAGATCGGAATCCGAATCTGGGTCCATTTCCTTCCCGCAATCTGAGACCTATGTGAAATCCATGAACCCAATCTTGCAACCACTATGCCTATATATATATATATATATATATATATATATATATATAATGCAAAGATGATATCGAGAATTGAACAGGCGCCTTGAGCATAACAATAGATCATTACTCTTTATCAATAAATATTTTCTAGAAATAAGAAAAGACATATTGAAAAATAAATTGTTTGCCTAGGAAATCTAATCCAGGAACATACACCATTAATAACATCTTTTATATGGAGTAATTAAATATTTCAAAAATTGTAAAATATCTGAGATTTTGCACAAATACCGCATTTACCAAACGGTGTCGTATTGCTTGGGCGGGAATTGGAGCCATTTTTTGTGGCCAATACATCCGGCTTTATTATAGATAAGATTAGTACATAAGGGCATTTCCGTCATTGTATCACTTATCCCCTTTCAATTTCATGCTTTATTACTACATATCAAACACTGTAATTTAAATTCCTACTTTATTCTCACCTGCATACCAAACACTGTAATTTGAATTCCTACTTTATTCACACCTTATTCTTTCCCCACCGAATTACAATTCTTTTCCCCCCCTAATTCCTTCCTTCCAACCAAACACCCCCTTAGCACAATTCGACCAATGCATATGTTTCTATGTTTTCATTTGGTAAAAATCTGTTGTCGATCGGTTTTGTAGAAGAGGAAGATGCAGGATAACACTTAACTGGAATTAGGTTAGTTGAAATGATTGAAAATCCAGTGGTGATGAGTTCACTAGTCAATGGTTTGCAGTTTGCTTCATTTTCTAAGTATTAGTGCTTGAACTTGAATTAAATTACATATTCTGGATACATATTTCATCTTCTTGACTTTTAGATGAGCTGAAATATTGAGTACTTCACCGAGACTTATTCTGATAATTGGGTCGTGGATTCAATATGATTAATTTTTCGGTATTTTTCATTGGAAAAAATGGATGTATTTAGATTAGCTTATTATTTGCCTGAAGCCCTTTGCATGCCAGAATTTATTTAGTAAATTGATTGATTTCATGACCTTGAATACCTAACTATCTTTGCCAGTGAATTTCTTGGGTCTAATTTCTGGTGATTTTTCTGTTATTATTCATGTAATGGCTTACTAATTTCTTAGTGATATTGTAGATTAAACCCCTCATTGAGTTTGCTAAGATAATTGCACATTAGGAATTTCATCTTATGATGTACTAATTTGGGTTATGGGATGGAAGCTTTTAGGGCAAGGCCTGTTAACAAACCATCCACCTGCAACAGTCATGAGCTTTGCTGCCAAGTATGAACAGTCGTGAAGTTTTCTGCCATACCTTGCTATTTTCCTTTATGAACAAATATATAGTGTTTTTTTTTTCTTTTTTTAACTGTTATAATTCCATTTTGCCTTCATAAATCATAATTTTGAGAGTGGTTGTAGAAACTGCAGAATAAGCTATAAGCATTCTTTCCAACTTCTACCTTTTCTTTTTTTTTTTTTTAGGTAAAAGAATGAATAGAGTTCCAATCAGCCTCAACATTTACAGCTTTGCCAATCAATATTTCAACAATCGGGCAGCATATAGCCTTATCAGTTGATCAATCTTTGCACAACAAACAGGACAACCCCAAATCTTGGCCTTGATTTAGTTCAGACAACCAGCCATATGGCCACATGGGATGCGAGCTCCTTCCACGGAAGCATCCAAGCATATTGCACAAAATGATTTTGGAATGCCTTGGCTTTGGGTTTGATTTCCTATTTCATTATTTAATAGTTCAAGTACTTGCTATTTGTGGAACTTGGCAATAATAAGCTACTGGTATGGTCATGGCTGTAGAAGATGAAGTGGTGGGTGCTCTAAAGAAATCAGAAAAGTCTAAGAAAAGGAAAGAGAGGAACAATGATATGTTAGCTGCCAATCCTGTTTATATTGTGAAAGATGTGGGAGTTAAGGGAGATAAAAGCTTTGAGGAAGAGACAAAAATGAAGAGTGATAATGAAGGTGTTGAAAGAATGAAGAAAAAGAAGAAATCTGCAGGAGATAATAAAAGGGGAGCACTTATGGAGGATGCTAATGGGATTACTGTTGAGAAAGCAGCAAAGAAAAAAAGGAAAAGAGAAGTCCAAAGCAAAAACAATGAGTCCCAAGATACTGCAAATGATGTTTCTGTAGACAATGGAGATTATGTAAATTCAACTGCAACTGAGATGCTTGAAAGCAAAAGCAAACATGAAAAGATGGCACGAACAATCACTGACAGTTGCACTGAGGGTAAAATGGACAAGGTTAAATGGAAGAATAAAAACATGAAGGAAAAGGGAGAGGATGACCAAGGATCAGTAGATGTGGCTACAGGTCTTACATGTGCTGAAGGCATTGCAGATTTTAGTGTAAATGTAACACAGGCTAGTGGAGTGGGAAATGATAATATTAGTCGGAAACAGGTCAAAGATAGTTCTAAAGATCCAAAACGGAAAAATAGCAAGAAGAAAGTGATATTTTCCAATGAGTTGAAGGTATCTCCCAAGTCTAATGTTCCTCAGAGTGGGAAAGGTCAAAATAAAGTAGTGGAGTTGATTCGAGGTAAGCGGTTCTCTAAAATAGAAGATGAGATAGTTAAACAAGCCGTTTTCAAGTACATAGAGGCATATAATTTAGGCGAGGAAGGTTTGGATATGGTTTTAAATTGTAGATCTCACCCTGAAGTAAAAAACTGCTGGAAGGAAATAGGAGCTGCCATACGAAATAGGCCTTACCTTTCAGTCTATCATCGTGCTCAAATATTATTTCGACGATCTGAAAGCAATAAATGGTCTGAAGAAGAAAAAGCTTTAATACTGGAGTACGTGAAATTAAATGGGAATGAGTGGAAAACACTTGCTGACAAGCTTGGCAGTCATAAGATTCATGTGAGGGATACATGGCGCAGGATATACTTACCTAACTTGAAGAAAGGGCCCTGGTCTCAGGATGAGTACCAGAACTTATTTGATTTTGTGAACTCTGATCTGCAATTGAGGATACTTAAAGAGAAGAGATCCAGGCATGGCATGCTACGGGATAACATCAGTTTTACAGCAATTAGTAATAAGTTGTCCACACGTACTTGTGGAAAATGTTGTTCGAAGTGGTACAGTCACTTATCATCACCTATGGTAGCTGAAGGTATATGGTCTGATTCTGATGATTATCGCCTAATTGGTGCACTTTATACCTTGGATGCAACCTGCATAGAAAATGTGGACTGGGATAATCTGCTGGAACATAGGCCCGGAGAATTATGTCTGAAGCGGTGGAAGCAAATGGTTCTTCTCATAGGGAACCATGGGAGCAAACCCTTTTCAGAACAAGTTGAAGTCCTAGCCAAAAGATACTGTCCCTCTTTAATTGAAGTAAGGGAGGCCTGGGATAGCAAGCCTGTGGTACCATGATGCAATGTTTTTTCCCATGAATTTGAAGATACATAACTATAGTTTCTTATTGACTTATTGTTATGTAACATCAAAGTGGCTCGTGTTTAATTCATGCAAAGCAGTTGGGATTGTGATTAATGCGCTTCATGTGTAACTTACTGTTATAAATATAGTTAAGTGTGGACATTATGAGTTGATTATGTAACTGATGTAACGGTCGCATTTATGTCTACCATTATTACCTTCTGTTACAAATGTATATTATATATATGTAGTGTTGTAATATGTAATGATATATATGGATGAATAAGAGATTCTACCTTTCTTCATTTATCTCTCTATTCTATTTTTCCTTTTAACACGTTATCAGCCCGTGTTCTAACCAACTGAGCTTTCGGCCGAGACAAGTCAACGTTTTTTCCGGCTGTTTGCGCCGAAGGTCACCCTTTTTTTTTTTTTTTTTTTCGGTGATCTGTTCGGCTCAAAGGCTCCGCCTCATTGAGACGGTCATGGAAAGGGTTGATGGCCTTCAGACTCGATCGAACGATACCTGGATTGTGTTCGAAACATCCTTGCAGACTTGAGTCGTAGAGGCGTCTGTTTATCTCCATCGCGATCCGTTGGCTTCAGGCTGGCGATGAAGGTCCGCCAACATCCAACAACATCATCGCCAACATCCAACAACATCATCGCAATCATCAGTTCCCCGATTGCCATCAGTTGGCGATCTCTCAAATCGCGATCCAGGGTTCGACTATTGAAGCTTCGTCCACGGCAGGTTGTTTTTCGCGGACGAAGATTGAGGACGATTGTTCCCTACACCCGCTTCAGGCCACCAACGAACAGAGAGACCTGACAGAGAAAGGGGTGGTGACGATGCCGGTGGGCCTTGTGATGTTGCTCAATTTACAATGTCAGGAAACAACTCGGCGTCAACCTCGGTGGTGACACCACGCGAGCCCTCTATTTTGGCCGTCACGGTTGACCGGAGATTACCCTTCTCCTTGGGCTCGCTGTTGGCTTAATCGCCTAGAGACGGCAGAGTCAACATTCGGCGATCGCAGACGGGAGTAGGCGGAGCGACAGCTCGTAATAGGTTCGCCGTTCTCGTTCATGTTTGGACTATGACTTTGGAGGATGAAGCTAAGCATCTTATATCTTTAGTACTTGAGTTCTTCAATCATGAATGTGCATATTTCCATAAAAAGTATATTTGTAGATATGAATATCTGCTAGAGTATATATATGCACCTATCATTATGTGATCATTTGCTGCTACTTTCTCTTAAAAGGATGCCAATTAAACAGGGGTCTTGACTGGAACTTGGGTGTGTTGTATATATACCATCAATCTGTGTGTTGAACCATGGATAAAAATATTTTAATTAGACATGCATTACAGTGTATGTTGTTGAATTCTCCTCTCAATTGCCATTCTGATGTCAATTTTGGAAGTATGCCTAATAATTCTCTAAGTGTTGGCTGTGTGGCCATGGTTTTTTTTATGATGTAAATGCTACTTTGGAGAATGCTTCTAATGTTGTGCCTAATTCTATTATTAGGGCCACTAAATAGTATGACCGAATTGGTAATCTGACCAACATTGTTGGCAAAATTACCAACAACATTAGCCAAACCACCATCACCCTTATATTGCTTGGTGATCTTGGCCGGAAAAATTGAGAGTCAACCGGGCACTAGTACAGATCTGATCATTTGCTACTGTTGTACAACAGTCGCAGATACTAGCGTCACAAAAAGCCTCGGACATTACGCGACTGTTGTGGAACAGTCGCGAATTGGGTATTATTTATTTTTCATTTTCTTTATTCCGTGGTCATCTGTGACTGTTTTATGATAGAAACAGTCGCGATTGTTTTCGTTTTAATATATATCCGCGACTGTTCTAGAGGAAGAACAGTCGCGGATTTTTTTTATTTTAATTATTTAATTTATTTTTGTTAAATCCACTATTTTTTTTATAATAATTCTTGTACCTGTTATAGTTAAAGTCCTACACAACACAATTTATCTATCAATACACTACTTTATATCACCAATATCATAGAAACACAATACTTTTAACACAAAACAATCATCAATACTTTAACAAAATGCACTTGAACACAATACTATCATCAAAACACAACTACTTTATATCCTCGATTACACTTTAATATAATAATATCATCAAAACATGCACAAAACAATACTATCATCAAAACAAAACTATTTATCAATAAAACAAAAGTTACACGCACTCCGAAAAGAAGTATTTTGCCCATTGCTCCCGAATCTCATTTATGTCATTGATGGAGTACGGACTATTGCTTTCAAATGCCTACAAAAAAATTTAAGTAACCAAATTTATGTTAATTAATAAAATATAACTTAACTGTACTATACATAGTTGCATTTAAATTCACTTACCTTATCCAAATCATCAATAGATGAATATTTTGTCACGATATCAAACCATTGGTTAGTTTGATGATAACCATTGGCTTCCTCGACTATTGTGTCATTGCCACATTCAGAATAACCATTGGTTAGTTTGAGACATGAAACAGTGCCAATTTCTTTAAATTTTATCACATGAATGAATGCACATGACAAGACATTGGAAGTTAATCCACTAGAAGATGGTAGAGTCTTCTATATTACTATCAAGAAAAGATGATAACTACACCAATCTTAGGTTTATAACAAAGCCTGGCAGATGGTAAATTTTAGAATCACTCTAGTGGATTAACTTCCAATGTCTTGGTTCTCTAAGATTTTTTTAAACCAATAACAATCCAAAGCAGGATATGTGGGCTGCTCTGAAGCTTATGTTGAATGGAAACTGATTCTGCTTCAGAATATAATGTGATTTTTCAATAAACATTAGGTGCTGGGCAGTGTAAAATCACTTCTAGTTTCCTATAATACCATAACAAGAAACTGGAAACAAAACTAAGTACCTGTTTTTTAAGCTCTTTTACATTTGCACAATCTATCTTTGTTTACTCTTGCAGCACCAAGTTCCAGAGCACCCACTATCTCACCAAATTAGGGCAACCTTTGTGTTAGCTGAAATACATAAACTTCTATATAATAAACTATGGTATGGAATATGATATGATGATTAAGGGAATATCTTTATTATTATAACTGATTTATTATCTTTACTATTAGAATTGATTTATTTCCTTTAGAGATAGCAAATAATTAGGGTAAGGATCTTTAATGATTCTCCTTTCCTTTTTTATGTTTTTTGCTAGTCTTCCTTTCCTTTTTAGGTTTTACTAGTCTTTGTAACCCTCTTATATAAAGGGGATTTTCATTCTAATAAAAGGACAAGCAAGAAAGAAGTTAAGTTAAAATCAAGAGGTGGGAAAACTCTCAAAACGTTCCTATTATCTTTGTTCCTTATATTTATCTCTCAACATAGACAACCCCAATAACCCTACTCGCCCTTTGACGCGTGCTTTCGCCCGAAAACATAACATTTTGGTTCCGTTGCCGGGCGTCAATATGGGCGATATCAAGAAACTCCAGGACGAGGTCCGAGCTATCCAGGCATCCATCGTAAAACTGGAACACCTTCCTGCAGCTGTGGACTCTCTAACCGAAACAGTAACCAATCTCTCCCAGATGGTGCACTCTTTCTTCACATCGCAGGCCACCACTTCCACAACTGTGGCAGCCTCTCATGGCAACCAAGCCACTCCGGAGACCGCACTGCTGCAGCCAGCTGCTCCCATTCCGGCTACACGATTCACCAGATTGGAGTTCCCCACTTTTGATGGCAAAGGGGACCCTCTTGTTTGGCTCCATCGCTGTGAGTTGTTCTTTGATAAATCACCGCATTCTGATCATGAGAAGGTTACCACAGCAGCATATTATCTGTTCGATAGCGCCCAACTGTGATACAAACGTCGCATGCAGGATGGTCAACAATTTTCTTGGAATCAATTCAAAGGTGCATGCACCCTCCGTTTTGGACCACCCCGGAGCATCAACCCGTTAGGTGAACTGGCAAACCTCAAACAACATGGTCGGGATTTAGACGAATTCATAGATGATTTCCAGACCCTCCTCGCTAGAGCTGACAACGTCCTTTATTCTCAACAAGTCAATCTGTTCACAGCCGGCCTTGATGAGGTTCTACGTATGGATGTTGAAAGGATGCGGCCAGTTTCTCTTGATGAGGCCATTAACATAGCACGAGATTATGCTCGTAAAGGCCTCCTGCTTCACAATGCACCTCCCCGACAAACTTTCCCATCCCAAACACCCCCTAGTTGCGCCATAACAGTGCACCAACAGCCACAATCACGCCCTCAGTTCCATAAACTCTCCCCGACAGAAATGATAGAGCGCCAAAAGCGTGGCCTCTGCTATAATTGTGATGAACCATGGGTAAAGGCCCATCGTTGAAAACAACAACTATACATGCTTGGCTTTAATGGCGAAGGGGACGATGAGCCAATTGACGCAACGACCCCAGACTAATCCATTCCCACTTTTCTAGATTTCAAGCTTGAGGACAAGCTTGATGTCCAAGAGGGGAGTAATGATATGATGATTAAGGGAATATCTTTATTATTATAACTGATTTATTATCTTTACTATTAGAATTGATTTATTTCCTTTAGAGATAGCAAATAATTAGGGTAAGGATCTTTAATGATTCTCCTTTCCTTTTTATGTTTTTGCTAGTCTTCCTTTCCTTTTTATGTTTTTGCTAGTCTTCCTTTCCTTTTTATGTTTTACTAGTCTTTGTAACCCTTTTATATAAAGGGGATTTTCATTCTAATAAAAGGACAAGCAAGAAAGAAGTTAAGTTAAAATCAAGAGGTGGGAAAACTCTCAAAACGTTCCTATTATCTTTGTTCCTTATATTTATCTCTCAACGTAAACAACCCCAATAACCCTACTCGCCCTTTGACGCGTGCTTTCGCCCGAAAACATAACAGAATATTATATATCATATTCCACAAAGCATAGAATGTAGACAATCAATTAAACAACAAATATTGATTGAGCTCAAGACACTCCCAACTCCAGGTGTGTGCTATACTTGGAGCCCACCAAGACCTCCCCATTCAAAGCACAAGCCAGAATGGGAAGTCAAGGCTAAAAACCTACTAAAAGGTCCCTTAGTCGGGAACCTCCTAGCCTACCAAGTATAGCTATCATAGAGCCAAGAGCACCTAAACTCCTAGGATCTTCAACATCAATCTTCAATCTTCCACCTACCTGCAAAACAATTAAATGGCTTCATCTCTACATATGTAGATCCACCAAACAAAAGCTGCACAGTATTTCTACTGCCAGTAACCTCAACAAGCTGTAACCCTCAGAGACTGCCCAGCTAGCAGCCCATCATTGGGTTAAAGTATCCGAGTGCCATGATGAAGGTCTCAGCTGGACAGCTTCATAAACCAAACATCCTAGCAAACAAGCCTCAGCTTCTCAGTTTTCTAGGCAAGTTCACCAAGTTCTTTTACCCCTCAAGATTGCCAAGCCAAGCAACCTATCATTGGGGTTTATTATTACTTTAACATTAAATACAACACCCCTCAACTGAATATCCTTAGGGTGTTCTTCCAATAATAACCAAAACTATCCACCTAACTTATATCCCCCTCATATCCATTTTTCAACTCACTTCCTATTCATTCTTTTTTTTCACTCAGCTTTTTAAACTGACCTCCTTATAACACCTTTTCTTTTCATCATCTTTTTTTCCAAATGGCCAACAAAGAGACCCTTTTCAGGGCAGCTTTATGGACTTATCTTAAAAAATGAATAAATACAGTTAATATTCCGTAGAAACATAAAGTTAATATTCACGGACCAATCTACAGTTTGGTTTTAATAACACTAGTTAGATGAAGTTTATTAACAAAACTCTACAGTCTTCAGAGACTATAGGCTGGATCAATGGAAAATCACAAGAACACCTCAAATTGACATGGATTTAAACAAACTGGGATCTAATAAAAAGCAATTATGCATAAAGAAACACACTTGAGAGATAGAAATGCACTCACCAAGCATATATCAAAAAGGGCTCTAGTATTTTGCCACCAGTTAAGTCTACAGTTAATGCATAATATTTCTTGGCTGTCTGAAGATTTTCTTGTCCACCTAGCGTATATAGAATCTGGTTCAGCCAAAAAGAGTCCACACAACATTTAATTACATGGTTTAAGGAGGGGAAAATATCAAGTTCTATAGTGATTTATAATATTAGAGCAATTTATCTTCATAGAATCTGTTAAATAGGGAATTGGAAGAAGAGAAAGAAAGGCATGTCTAAGAACAAACACTTTGCACATTTAGATTATTATCTCCGTGAAGAACAAACTAACCTGGTTATTGCAGATGGACGGTGGCTGTGGCGAGCGGAGACGGTGACGGCGGCTGTGGCGACCAGAGACAGTGACAGACTGACAGTGGTTATGGCGGGCGGAGGCAGTGACGGTCGTCGCGTCCGCACCTGTGGCGGAGGAAAGGGCGTTCAACGGCTGTGGAGGCGTTCGCCGTTGAAGATGGCTGTGGCGGCGTTCGCCGTTCGCAGTTCGTCGGAGGAGCTGAGATCGAAAGTTTTTAATTTTCAATTCATTTGATTTGTTATTGTTGCATAAGGTGCAGTGGTAGGGTTTTTTTTTATTGTTTTTTGAAATAAATTTTAATTATTATTTTTTTAAATAAATTCCGCCACTGTTTCAACTAGAAACAGTAGCGAAATATTAAAGCGTTATTTCAATTATTACGAAATTGTCACCGCGAATTTTTGAATTAAGAATACACTACTATTTTTTTTAAACAGTAGCTAAATGCCAGTCTCCTATGCCCTGTTTTGTACTAGTGGAAACTACTGAAGCAAAGTTTTCGATGGCTCACTGGGAGAACTGTTTCCTAATTTACTTTCTGGTAGAAGAATGCCCGAAGCTTTGCACCTGTTATTAGTGAGGATGTTTGGAAATTTTGTTAGGAGGGGAATAAAAACCAAGAGTTGCTATGACAAGAAACAGAATTGTTTCTTCGATTTATTCTGGCAAGCTAAGGTTAGCTTACGGTTTTTCATATTTGATGTGAAGTTTTTAATCCATGCATGTGTATAAAGAAAGTTGAGATCATTTACCAACACAAGCAACTGAGACTATTTGTGATGTGCATATGCTTGGGCAATATGCCTGGTCATCGGATCGTTTTTAATAAAGGTCTAGAAGACTTCTAATGGGATTGATTTTTGGATGATTAATGACTCGTGAAAAGTCTTAAATTTCTAACTTTAATGCTATGTTATTCAATCCAAAATATTTTATGATCATGTCACAAAGTAATACATGATATAGTTATTTAAAATGCTATGTGTTTGAAAGTTAGAAGTAAATTACGTCATAATAATTTGCTCGAAGCAAATTAGTTGTATATATTTGATGACGATGACTTCTTATATGTTTATGAATTTTTGAGATCCTGAATGGTCTCACCATTTATACATCTATTTGGCATTTAACCTATTTAAGATGGTTGCGTACTCGTATAATCTCATTTAATTAATATGTATGCTTTCTCTATTTTGACATATATGTGCATATACTTATGAGTACTCCATATGTTGCGATATTTTTTTTTTTCAAATTGTAAAGACCCAAATTCCTTTAAATTATGCCATGAACAATTGGGTCACTTAGGACAAACATAATGAGTCAGATATTGAAATTTCTTACCCATATATGAGTAAATTATAAAGCATGTGTGAATGAGAAATTATCAAATTATTTATTTTTGGGGATATTTGTATTAATTCAAATCTGACTCACTGCATATCGTAATTATTCCCCCATACACATAGTACGTGGTAGAATTACACATTTTCCGATCTGAGTTTCTAGTCTTCGTATGTAGTCCATTTTATTGTATCACCACCTCACGCGTATCTCGATGGGCTAAAACCTCTGTCTGTTGTTTAAATACCTAGAGCCCATTATAGGGGATCTATAGATACGCTGACTACATACATGAATCATGAAGATCATTTCACGGCATTAGGGGGAGATGAGTCCAAATTTAATGAAATGACGAGAAGTTCCATGCAATGGAAAGATCTTCATTAGTTAAGAAATCCATGTACTAGTTAGACTGAACTAGAAGTTCAAAAGATAGTCTATATATTTGCGATTTGCAAATAATCTGCCAAATACATCTATTGATCATATCGATCATAAAAGAGTGATTAGGTCCCATATACTTTTCCCAACTTGGACCAAATATATCTACTGATACTCCTTGACGCCAGAAGTGTAGGAGATCTATCGGTGAAAGAAATATGAATCATAATACTCCCTCTGTCCCGATTTATGTGTCATACTTTGCTTTTGCACGGATTTTTAGAAAGTAAGTAGAAGAATGCTTGCTTTCCCATTTTGCCCCCAACTTACCCATGTGCTGTGAGTTGACCATTCAATCTTCATTCCACATCAAACATCTTTCTCTCTCCTCTTTCCTTTCTTCTTTCTTAGATTTGCGTAAATGGAGTTTGATATGCAAATTTTCTTAGATTATTTCATTTCAAATCTAAGCCAAACCTCTATGGATTTTCATTTCTCAAAATTTGATAATCATCTTAGTGGCAATGGTTTTACAGATTTTGATGACGTCGGAGTTATGTAGAAGAAGAGTTCATCTCCTTTGTACTTCTACCCAATATATTTTTTCTTCTCAAATACTCCATTTTTAGGAAATCAAAGCTTGAAATACATTTTTCCACCTCCATTTTACAAAGGAAAAAAGGTACTAGAAGTTTCAGTAAGTGGAGTAACAAAACATACATACTTTGTGTGAGATGCCGCCACTGTAGCTTCTACACCCAGACGAGATGGAGTGCTGCTTGTGCATATCTTATTACTCACACTAGAAAACATAATTGGAGTAGTAAGGAAATTAGGAGAACTAATACTGGAACATGTTTGGTTTTGATTCTTAAAAAGGGGTATGGTTGATTTGATTAGTCATATTTCTCTAGAAAAGCTAATAGTTGGATTATATTAAAATTTTTAAATCCAAGGGTATTTTGGGAAAAATAGAAAGGTACTAGTGTTTATTTTAGGAAAGTGGACAATATTTTGGGACGGATGAAAAAGGAAAGTAAGACAGATAAAATGGGACGGAGGGAGTACTAGATCTAGTAAAGAAACATTGTCACTCTTAAAATAGCTTGAACAATTATGTCCTGCAGACGTTCGTCCAGATGACGAAAAAGCCTAGTAAAATTTATAGGTGCACCAAACAAACGTAATACTAGGGATGCGGAACGACCATATCAAAATATCTTTGGGAAATGTCTAGAATCTGCTCATTTTAGAAATTTGTCATTAACTTTTACAAATATGGGAGACATTTATAAAAATGTTATAGTTGTCGACAACACAATTGCCATTACAAATTGCTCGTTATATGATAATCTGGATCCAGAGTTAGGCACCAGAAGTGTCATGGCTATTTATTTAACATATAAAGGAGCAATTAAGGCATCTATGGGTTCACGCAGAGACCCTTAATTGATTTTAATCAAATATACTCTCCCACGGTAAATGGCATTAAGTTCCGCTACATAATACAATTGGCAGAATAATAAATTTAGATATGCAGTTAAATTTATCTTGAGAAATCCTTATGGATTTATAATTCCCGAAATGAGGATTTATTTAAGTATTATTATGTGCCATTATTTACTCTTTAAAGAGTTACGAATGAGGTTATTATCCTCGTATAGAAGGAATAATATGTACAATTATGTGCTCAATAAAGAGTTGATAATGGACTTATTTATTATCTCAGTCAATATTTATGGTGTAAACATCAATGAAATATATAAAGAGCTCGATGATGTCAGTTCATGTTTGAAGACTGAGATATTTTTTTTTTTGAAATAAAAAGCTTGTGAAAGCTATAAGTATTATCTCGACTTGAAGATCGAGTTTTTGCTTGAAGAATTTTGTTATACACCAGTTAGCTAATACTTGATTTTGATTAGATACTTATACAAATCAATATATAATGGGCTACTTGGGTACTGGCTATTATTTTTGTATCCCCATAATGCCAAGTCCCAAAACTGGTTGTACTATATTTACCCCCATTGTTCTATAAAAGGACAATAAAGATTGTGTCGCTCAAATGATAAAATAATATATAATGAAATCTTTTTGACTAAGATATTATGGTGTCAACCTTATACCCACGTGAGCTCGAGAAGAGTCAAGAGATTATTATAAAGTATATTTGTTCCATTGACAATTGTACATATTTCTTTCAAAAAAAAAAAATTGTACATATTTATTTACAAAATTCCTCTATACATTTTGGAAATTTAATGTATAGGACATCAAGATTGTTATCTTGAGGGGGAGTATAATTTTACATGAATCAATCCTGAAAATTGATGACTAACGACACATACATCATGCACTCTTTTCCTCAACTAATTTTTTCCAGTGGTTTTTTTTTTTTTTTAATGAGGTTTTTAACGAGGCATGAGTATGATATAGTAATGACGATTAGAGAATAACTTTCGATTCAATTCAAACAGGATAAAGATTACAGAGTATATTCACAACTAAAACTCTAACTAATCCTGAATAATAGAACTAGTGTTGACTGACTAATTCTAACCACAAACTATAAGACAATATATTATACAATAATAATATGTAAATAATAACTTCACTAATACACCCCCTCAAGCACAAGGCGGAAGTGAGGCCACATTGAGCTTGCCTCGTAGAGTAGAAAAACGCGGTGCTGGAAGCGGCTTGGTGAAGATATCAGCTAGCTGATCAGCAGTAGATACATAATTCACAACGAAGTCCCCCGAAGCAACTTTATCACGGACAAAGTGATAGTCTATTTCCACGTGCTTAGTGCGAGCATGGAAGACCGGATTAGCACACAGATAAGTCGCACCTAGATTATCACACCACAGTGTCGCAGGCTGACCAGAGTGTAACCCAAGTTCCTGAAGTAAAGATACAACCCAAGTTACCTCGGCAGAGACATCAGCTAACGCTTTGTACTCAGCCTCAGTGGAAGAGCGGGCCACAGTTCGCTGTTTCTTGGACAACCACGAGATAAGATTAGAACCCAAATAGACAGCATAACCACTGGTACTTTTCCTGTCGATGGGACAGCCAGCCCAGTCAGAATCAGAGTAAGCGTGTATAGTAGTAGAAGTAGACGGTGTAAGCTGTAGCCCATAGTCAAGGGTGCCCTTGATGTACCGGAGAACCCGTTTCACTAGATGCCAGTGATCCTCTGTCGGAGAGTGCATGAACTGACAAAGCCGATTAACCGCATAAGCCAAATCGGGACGCGTGATCGTAAGATACTGCAATGCACCAACAATGCGACGATACTGTGTCGGATTATCATACGGCGTGTCTATCGGAGTGACTGACTTGGTGACAGCCGCCGGAGTGGCCAACGGCTTGTAGTCAACCATTCCTGAGCGACCGAGAAGATCCATCATGTACCGCCGCTGAGACAAAAGAAGACCATCACCAACCACAACCGTCTCGATACCCAAAAAGAATCCTGGTGACCCCAGATCGCGGATTTTAAAGGTCGTAGACAGACGCTGTAGTAAGGTAGTCACAAGCTGAGCATCATTACCCATCATAATGATGTCATCTACATAGACCAGCAAGTAAACACGTGAATCACCGGCCGTGTAATAAAACAAAGACACGTCAGTTTTTGATGCTCGGAACCCTGTGGACAGCAGAAAATCATGTAGACGTTTAAACCAGGCTCTCGGCGCCTGCTTCAGCCCATAAAGAGACCGTTGCAAATGACATACGTGACCAGGTGTTGTAGGGTCTTCATACCCCGGAGGTTGCTTCATGTAAACCGTCTCAGATAGGTGCCCATTGAGGAAGGCGTTGTGGACATCGAGTTGCCGTAGAGTCCACCCTTTGGATACAGCTAATGAAAAAAGCATGCGGACTGTAGTAGGTTTGACTACCGGACTGAATGTGTCGAAAAAGTCCTCCCCTGCGACCTGATTAAAGCCCTTGGCTACCAAGCGTGCTTTATACCGTTCTACTGACCCATTTGCCGTACGTTTTGTTCGAAATACCCACTTGCTACCAATTATGTTCATATGTGGTTCCGGCGGGACAAGGCGCCAAGTGTGATTGTGGAGTAGGGCATTAAACTCCTGATCCATTGCCTCACGCCAGTGAGCATGGCCAACTGCCTGTGAATAACACGTTGGGTCAGTACTTATAGTTAAGGCCTGAAAAGACTCATCCGTACCCCTCGTCATATGACGTAGGCGCATGACATGATCCCGTTCCTGTGGTTGAGCACGTTTCTTTCGGGTTCGTGCCGGTGCTGTGTGAGTGATCGCTAACTGTGGCGGATCACGTGCCAAGGGAATGGGTTCAGATTCAACCATTACTCGAGGGCTTGTAGGTACGGTGGGCACTTTAGGTGGAGTTGCCGTAACAACAGGTGCAGCCGCCCACGGTAAGCCAGGTGGTGGCGACACTTGTTGCATATTCTTCGCTGAAAAAGGAAACACATGTTCATCAAAGCGGACATGGCGGCAGATATAGGTCTTACCAGTCGCCAAGTCAGTGCATCTGTATCCCCTAAAGCTGGGAGGGTAACCTAGGAAGACGCACGGGGTGGAGCGATACTCTATCTTATGCCTGTTATACGGGCGTAGATGAGGGTAACACTGACACCCGAAGACACGAAGGAAGGTATATGGGGGTGACACTTTGAAGAGGCGAGTGTATGGGTTTTCATAATTAATGGCTGAGGACGGTAAGTAGTTGATTAAGATAGTTGCTGTTTCAAACGCATATTCCCAATATTCATGTGGGACTTTTCCTTCAGCTAGTAGAGTTAAAGCCCATTTCGACAATATGTCGATTACGGCGCTCTACACGCCCATTTTGCTCATGTGTGTATGCACATGACTGGCGGTGATTGATGCCTAAGGTTTGAAATACAGTGTTTAATTTTCTGTATTCACCCCCTAGATCCGATTGGACTGACTTTATAGAACGCCCAAATTGGCGCTCGACCAAAACACGAAACGACTCGAAACATTTATAAATATCTGATTTTACCCGTAATGGATAAAACCAGCAAAAGCGAGAAAAATCATCTACAAATAAACAAAAATAACGATATCCACTAATAGAGAGGACCGGAGACGGTCCCCAAATATCGGTAAAAATAAGATCTAGTACATTTTCACTAGAACGTTGTACATTATCTAATTTAAACCGTGATGATTTCCCCAAGTGGCACGAGACGCAGGAACTGACTGGATCATTTTTATTGGATATGACCGGGCAATCTTGTAGAACTTTATTTTGGACAGTTTTGTGTGGGTGACCAAGCCGTTGGTGCCAAACTGTAGGAGTGGCCCGGGAAGTAACAAACGCAAAATGTGAAGGTGACGCCGAAAGCTTGTAAAGACCGCCCGTAACTAGACCCCTAAGTAGAACTGCTTTGGTGATGGAATCCTTCACAAAAAAAACAAGAATCATGAAACTCAAAATAAACACCGTTATCTACTGCAAATTTATGAACAGACAGTAACGGGACCGAAAGACTCGGGACATGCAATATATTATTTAAACACAGAGTTTTTGACGCGGAAGGAAGAGATGCACGACCGACTCTAGTAATGGCCAAACCTGCACCATTACCCACGCGGAGCACATCCGAACCAGTAAATTCCTCCGACTGCCCCATCATACTCGCATCGGGGGTTGCATGCGCGGTGGCACCGGTGTCCGAGTACCACCCATCAATAGGAGCATGTGTCGGAGCCACCAGGGTGTCACTTGACACGGCAACATTGGCTTGTGGTGTGGCAGGTTGGGGATGATACCGTTTAAAACAGTACATAGCCGAATGTCCGTGAGAGCGGCATATTTGGCACCGTGGTCCTCCTCGGCCTCCTCGACCCTGCCGGCCACCGCGCCCACCGCGACCACCAGATTGTTGCTGCTGCCGTCCGGCCTGCTGCTGCTGTTGGCGTCCGCCTCCAGAGGAACCACATCGGCCGGAGCCAGCGTAGAACGCCGTGTGTGCTGCAGTAGCGTCGACAGTGGGATATTCATCCACTAGGATGAACTCGTTAGCCTGTAGGTAGTCCGAAAGATGCTCCAGAGACACTGGTTTGCCGGAGGTGTACGCAGCCGCTAGTGTTTTCAGTTCTGGACGGAGGCCACGAATAACGTACAAGTTCTGCTCCGTTAAGGACAGAGGACGACCGGCTTGAACGAGTGATTCAACCAACACCCCTGCGCGCCCAAGGTAATCGGACGTGGTGGAATTGCCCTGGCGGAGAAGCTGGAATTGCCCCAATAAATTGAGACACCGAGCATGACTAGAGGACCCTAACGCCGTGGTGATGGATTCCCAGATCGCCGCAGACGTGTTTCGGCCGAGGGCAAGGTGCAAGACCTCATCTGACATGGACGATATCACCAGTGAAAGTATGGACTGGTCCTGCTTCATCCACGCGTGGTGTGCGGGGTTCGGAACAGTGCTCGCCGGTGTCGTGCTGGAGTCCGCAGAAGACGACGCAACCGTGATTGTTGCCGGCGGGAATGGCAGAGTACCATCAACATAACCCAGGAGTTCCTGGCTCCGAAGGAATGGGAGGAGCTGTGTACGCCAGAACAGAAAGTTCCGGGATGTCAGCTTCATGGTGATGTAGTGATGAGCACCTGCGAGAGAACCCCCGGTGGCCGGAGACGGCATACCAGCGGCGGCAGAGGGAGTGTGTTCGGAGGAATTAGATGACATTCCGGGAAGAAGGTGGTTGATAATTGGCGATGGAGGTTACGGTGGAGAGGGGGAAATTTGGATGGTGGAGATACGAAAGGATCGTTTTCCGGCTGATACCAGATTAGAGAATAACTTTCGATTCAATTCAAACAGGATAAAGATTACAGAGTATATTCACAACTAAAACTCTAACTAATCCTGAATAATAGAACTAGTGTTGACTGACTAATTCTAACCACAAACTATAAGACAATATATTATACAATAATAATATGTAAATAATAACTTCACTAATAATGACAATGGGGAAAAGTTGCAAAATAATTACTTAAACGGACAAACTCCAAAATCCTGAAGATTATGCAGGTTATGCCCTGGAGGCTTATGGGTGTACTCTTTTTCCCTTAACTAAGTTTTTCCCACAGAGTTTTCTTAAGTTAAGGTTTTTAATGAGGCAATCAGTACAATATATGATTTTACAAATATTATGTACTCTTTTCTTCAACTAGGTTTTTCCCACGTGATTTTCCTAGTGAAATGTTTAATGAGGCATGAATATGTATTTTCAAATATTCTATCCATATACCTTGTACTTGTTTAGGTTTTTTCCCACGGGGTTTTCCTAACAAGTTTGCAAGTTTCTTTTTTTAATGAGGCAAGATCGTGGTGTTATAATGTCTAGGGGGGGGGGGTGTTATAAATATAGTTAAGTGTGGACATTATGAGTTGATTATGTAACTGATGTAACAGTCGCATTTATGTCTACCATTATTACCTTCCGTTAGAAATGTATATTATATATATGTAGTGTTGTAATATGTAATGATATATATGGATGAATAAGAGATTCTCCCTTTCTTCCTTTATCTCTCTATTCTATTTTTCCTTTTAACACTTACAACTTAAACTTCTCCAATTTTTATGATATTAATTTAATGTCAATGACCTTGTGGTCTAGTGTCATAAAGTGACTCTCCCAAATGGAAGGTCATGGAGATAGTAGATATGAACAGATATCTACTAAAAGCAAATAATATTGATGAGATTTTAACATGTAATAGGCTAATAGGCATGGATGCTATAATTCTTTTAGAGTACCATATTTTAGATTGTTGTGATATTGCATGTTTAATGTAAATTTAAAATCAATTGACACTCTTGATTTGAGACAAAATGTCAACCTTTTTGACTTTTTCTATTCTCCTATATTTTTATTCATTTTCTCCGCCAACTCTTTATCGCCCAGCAACTCCTTAAAGTTTCAACTCTAATTGTCCGTTTATAATTACTTCATTTCTAGTTCTTTATGTGATGTTAGATCATGATAGTTTCATTTATGTTAAATTTTAATATGTAAACAAACCTATTTAAATGTTAGATCATGATAATTTCATTTCAAAATGTTAAATTTTAATATGTAAACAAACCTATTTAAATTTAAAGCTATTTAAATTTTATGAAGATGTCAGTTTTAGTCTTTTAATTTTATCAAACACTTTTAAGCAACTTAACAGCTCTTTAGTTTTCAACTTCTATCATATAGTTTTTCAGCTTTCAGCTAGGTTTGCCAAACATAGCCAATGAAGGCTAAAAATGAGAAAAAAAATAACAAATCAAATGTAATAAATAAATTTTTGTATGTAAAAATTCAAAATTATAAATTAATTTTTATTTATTTTAAAAACATTAAAAATGATTTTAAAAAAATGTTTTCTTTAAGATGTTGGAATGAATGAGATTTTTTCACACATCACATTGGGTCTCTCTTTTTAAACCTGCATTTCTTCCTTTTTGATTGGGAAAGAGGGTTAGAGACTTAGAGAGTTTAAACCGTTCACATCTTAACCTAAAGCATGGTTGCAATAGGCGCTAGGCGCTAGTCGGGCGGTAGACTAGCGCCTAGACGGCCTAGGCGGGGCCTAAGCGGTCGCCTAGGCGGCTAACTGAAAAAATGAAAAACAGTGTACGTGTGTAGGTGCATATATGTCATATTATACATACATACATACATACATACATACACACATACATATATATATATATATATATATATATATATATATATATATATATATATATATATATATATATATATATATAAATTGGCAAGGTCGAGTCGGCCGGGTTAACTCGACTAACTCGATAGAAATTGACGAATTAACTCGGCGTAATCGGCCGAGTTAGGCGCTAGGCGGACGCCTAGGCGGCCGGTCTCCTAAGCGGGTGCCTAGGGAGGAAATCGCCACGGCCTAGGGGCGCCTAGCGCCTAGGAGCTGATTACTCGGTGCCTAGGCAGGATTTTTGCAACCCTGACCTAAAGTAAAAAATCAGGACACTTAAGCAAATCGTCTTAAATCGTACATAGTTACATACATGTACATTATTTGTATCTCATATGTAATTATTTTATCAAGTTGTTGAAGATGTACTCTTCTCCAATGAGTTATCATTAATCTTTAATCAAGTAAAAACAAAAAGGCATGAAGTTGAATAAGTAGTTAACATTTTTTTATTCAGTTCCTACAATACGCAATTCAGTTTGAACCAGATGGTTTAAACTGAATCATAATCATCCCTAGCGATAGGAGAACATAAAAAATTATTATATCATGGACCATTGTTCGTTATGCGTCATGAACCTAGTGTAGACACAGAAAATTTGAATCCAACAAATAGACTGATAAATGGTCGGTGGACCGGTGTTGAGGTTAAATGTTGGGCCAATTTAATTAATTGGATCATATAAATTAATTTAATTTAATTAGCTCAATTAGAATTTGATTTGGGCTATTGAATTAATTGATTAGTTGGCCCAAGCCCACTTCATATTTGAATTCAAATTATAATTATAATTTAAATATAATATTAATTTTATTATATTTGAATTAGATAATTATAATTTTATTTGAATTTGAATTAGATTATACAATAATGAACCTGGACTTGATCTTGGACAAGGTTCATTTTCCTAATTAATTAATTAATTAATTAATTAGTTAACTAAAAAGGGGGGTTGGTTGAGGAATTTTGGTTAAGCTTTTAGTATAAATAGGGCCTTCATTTTCATTCCAAAAGACACTTGAAACTTGAAGAACTTGAAGGCTTAGAGCCTGAAGGCATTGAAGAACGCTTGAAGTTGAAGGCATTTTTTGTTGATTTTGCAGGCAATTTGAATCCATTGCAGGTACTTTGGATTTTTGCAGAATTGATTGTCTCGAAGATATTGACGTCTTTTGAAGGCGTTTGAGGACCTTAAAGCAGCTTGAATCCATTGCATGTGTTTTGAAACTTTGCAGGGTTGATTACTTCTAAATTCTTGACGCTCGTTGTTGGAAGTCACGCCAATTGAATCCCAGAAGCTACGCCACTTAAATCCCGGAGGCACGGGCCACTTAAATCCTGGAGGCTACGCTATTTGAATCCCGGAGGCACTTCCATAGATAACGTCAGTGAAGAATCAGAGGACTAGACAGAGATTTTGTACATGCATATTGAATTATACACACGCTGTACACGGAATTTTTGTGAATATATACAAAGTTTACTTTTTTGTGTTTACAGATTTTGACACACCTAGTGGGACTACTCTGCCTCTCATCTCTTCACTATTGATTCACGAGCTCTACAAGGAATGAATCCAAATGACATCAAGAAATCCCTCCTCCAAGATGACCTATGCTCAAGCTACCCGCTCCAAGGCATCATCCGTGGGCGGTTCCGGTGATAGCTAAAATGTGGAAGGAGCAATGACTCGGAGCCGAGTGAGGAACCTAGGGGTGCAACTGAACGAGACCCAGAACATGGTTCGTAACATCGTCCGAAGGATTGAAAGCAACTCCACCAAGTCATGGAAAACCGCATATGACAAGGGTTCATCTTCGACGAGGGAAACTGTTGGCGACAAGAGTCATATGGGCCCTACTACCACAAAAGGAACTCCCAGCAGCAAGAGTATGACTCCTTCAAAAGGAACCCCTAGCAGCGGTAGCTCGTCTCCTACATCTCAATCATCACCTCTGCAGAAAACATCGTCGGAATTGACTCACAGCTACACAGTCATGCCCGTTATGACGACGAACGCAGCTTCGGTGGAGGAACAACTAGCAAACATCACCAAAGCTCTTGAGGGGATAACTACGTTCATGCATAACCAAGAAAGGAGAATCAATGAGCTCAGTGAAAAGGTTGAAAGCGGAAGAAACGGCGAAACAAGTCGAGCTTCCGAGAAGCAGTCTCAAACCCAAGAGGATGATATTGATGTCGAGTCACCGCGTCATGAAAGTAGGCCAGGAATGGAAGAGACAATCTCTCGTCCACTACCCGCTGAGAAGAGTATTCCAATTTCTGAGGGCATGATACCTGTAGACCAGTTGAACGACTACATCATGGGAGCAATTAAAGGGAAGCTCGAGGGAGGACAATCTTCATATACTTACACTAAGCCCTATACTCAGAGGATTGAAGAAATGAAGATGCCGCTGGGCTATCAACCTCCCAAGTTCCAGCAGTTTGATGGAAAAGGCAACCCAAGGCAGCACATCGCCCACTTCATTGAAACCTGTAATGATGCAGGAACATACGAAGACCTCTTCGTCAAGTAGTTCGTCCGCTCTCTGAAGGGCACTGCCTTTGATTGGTACACCGACCTGGAGCATGGTTGCATTGATAGCTGGAATGATATGGAGCGCGAGTTCTTGACCCGATTTACAGCACAAGAAGGACTGTCAGCTTCTTGGAGCTCACCACTACCCACCAATGGAAGGGTGAGCGTGCATGCGCTTACATCGAGAGATGGAGGGAGTTGTGCCTTAACTGTAAAGAAAGGATATCCCAAAGCTCCGCAATTGAAATGTGCATCCAAGGCATGCACTTTGAGCTCTCTTACATCTTGTAGGGAATCAAGCCTAGAGCATTTGAAGAACTATCCAGTCGTGCTCATGACATGGAATTGAGTATTGAAGCTAATGGGGGACTAAGTATGTCAAGTATGCCCGGCTCATCAAAGGCACCTGCAAACCAGGATGTCAACAAATGGAGTAAGTTTTTCCAAAGCAAGAGAAGAAAGAGACGATGAACGTGATGACAGGACCAATGCGGGTGTTCACCAAAGTAACTGAGAAGCCCAAGCAAAGATCATTCCCTGGCCCATCAAGGGGAGCTAGAAAAACAATTGTTGAAGAGTGGCAGGAGAAACAATATTCATTCTTAGATTCTGACGTTTCTCCTATGTTTGACGAGTTGCTGAAACTCAAATTAATTGAGTTGCCTGAGATGAAGCGCCCCGAAGAAGCTTCTAGGGTGGATGACCTCAACTATTGCAAGTATCATCGTCTCCTCGGACACCCGATTGAAAAATGCTTCGTCTTTAAGGATAAAGTGATGGGGCTTGCTCGTGATGGAAAGATAGAGCTTGCGGATGCTAGCGCAAGCACAAACCAAATTTCATGTGGGAGGTTTGCTCCATTACTTATAGAAGATGAGGAGAGTAATGGGGGCAAGCAACATAAACGCACACTTCCATTTAGAGTAAAGCATGCTGACGTCCAGTATTTAAAACCATCACAACTTGATCCTGCTAGTCATATTAGACCATTAAAGAAAATGACAAAGCAATGGGTTGAGAAAAAGTCGGCAAGGGACCCCGTCCATGACTCGAAGAAGAAAGGACTTCCCAACAAGCCACAGGCACCAGTTACCCTAGCTCAATACATGCCAAAGGGGTTTCGCCTGAGTAGAACAGACATTCTTGGAACTTGCTTGAATACAATGAAGAACATGTTGAAGTGGGAGAATCTTCATTCCCCTTGATTGAAGGAATCAACGAGGTCCAAACTCGCAAAGCCGCGTCTTACACTGCGGAGATAATTTTAAAAGATGAAGATCTATTGTTTGGTGGTACACCACACAATTGCCCGCTGTACGTAGAAGGTTATACACGTGAGCAAGGAATCAAAAGGATTTTGATTGATCAAGGATCGGCTGTGAATATTCTGTCACTCCGAGCTATGAAAGAACTTGGCATCTCTACCGACGAGCTCTCTTAAAGCCGCTTGATGATTCAAGGTTTTAATCAAGGTGGGCAAAGGGCACTAGGTACCATCAGACTCGATCTCAGGGT